AAAATTTTTGTTCCTTTCCGTACTAGGGGTATGCCATCATATAGAAAACCCAAGGCCCTTATCATCAGTTTTCGCGTGAATGAGTTCTGTACTCGTTCAAGTGCGAGTACAGATTTAGCTTTATGTGGATTAAACAGGCGTGCCGTACTCCAGTATGGGACCCGAAGTAGGTCTTGAAAGCGAACAAGACTGCAGTGTTTTTCGTAGTGAGGACTTTGAACAACTTATACACTGCGTTTCATAAATATAGGTCCACCCTAAATTTTTGCTATTCCAAAGTTGCTGTGCATTTTTGGAAAATGCCGCTATTACCAATAGTTTCCCCATAACGAAAAACCTTGATACTTGATTTCTGGAGAAATCTCGATTCAGAATTATTAAAATATCTTCCTTAGAACGTATTTTCACCGTTTCGCAAATACAGTGCGTTTCAAAAGTATGTGCACACCCTCAAAATTCACGTTTGAAAGGGAACCATGAGGTTTCGTGCTATGAAATCCTTCTCAATCGATTTCTCGTAGTCGATAACCTATCAATGGAAGCAAAGCAGATAATATCTTCACTTTCGAAAAAAAATTTTGGATGAAATTTTTTTCTTTGTTTCAAAAGTATGTGCACACTTAACAAAAGACAAAAACATAGCTGAGATTAGAAATCAGTGGGGCCTCCAGAGTTTCTAATTAGCTCAAACATCCTGTCCGGCATAATCTGAACCACGTTTGGCATAGCTGTTTCGTCGCTGTCGGCCCAAATAGCCTCTACCGCCGCCTTCAGTTCATCCGCGGTATTATACTGCCGGTTGCTAAAGTTAACGCCTTGATCAAGGGCTCCCTATAGGGTTGCAGTAAGGAGGACACACAAGCCAATCTATCGCTTCAGCACCATTTGGTTAAGGCCATTCTTTGGTAGATTGCGAAGCATCGAAAGACACGTGGTCCTGTTGCTAAAAATGCAATTTTCGCTCCGCTTCGCTAAGGAAGGGCAACAGGTGACATTGGAGCACTGCTTGGTATTGGTATTTTACAGTTCATACGCAATAATGGAACGGCAACTTCTGAATTTCCGCTGATTGCGAAACCGCCGCAGACCCATCAACGGGCCTCTTCCGAAATTCCTTCTCGAGAGCACGAGCGACTCACGGCCAAGCCTCTCCAGTAGTAGCAAAATCCACCCGGCCCGTCAAGATCGAACTCTTTCCATGAGTTAAGATTACCTGAGGAGAGAAAGTCCATAAAAAGTTGCTTGTTTTGAAAATAGGAAATTCTCGAAAAACCGTGTCTTCGCCCGGTGTCCTATCCTATGTTGCCATGTCTGTACGAGCAGACTCCAATGTGGCTAACTTGTGCTGGGCCTTGAAGTGAGTAGCCTTTCTCAGCGTCTGTCGAGTGGTGTATTCATTTGAGCGGATGAGGGGCTTAGTGGTCATTTTCGAGGCTGGAATAAAAATCTGAGCTCGGACTGTCAATGAAGAATCCGACAGGATGTGGGCTACTCTTTTGTTGTTCTGAGCAGTCAAGGATCGTGGATGGAGCGGAGTGTGTGCTGAGTATAATTATCAGGGTGCCAGATAAATCTTCGAATGCATTAAGGAGAACGACCAAGTTATCGTGCGATTTCTAGATTGGAACGTTCATTATCATGCAGAACCTTGATCTGAGCTTGCTCATCTTCAGGAAGAAGTATGGCGCGAATTGACATGATGACGAAATGAAAACAGCAAAGTCGGATTGAAATCGGTGGAAAATTCGGCGCCAAAATCTGATCTTCTTCAAGTGTGCACATACTTTTGAAACAAAGAAAAAAATTTCATCCAAAAATTTTTCCGAAAGTGAGGCGATATTATCTGCTTTGCTTCCATTGATAGGTTATCGACTACGAGAAATCGATTGAGAAGGATTTCATAGCACGAAACCTCATGGTTCCCTTTCAAACGTGAATTTTGAGGGTGTGCACATACTTTTGAAACGCACTGTATGACTACACATCACTTGTCGAGAGATTTTACTATAACGAAAAAACGTCACGAATTTTCAATAATGGGATGACCCCCCAATAATCATAAGGAACACAATAATACGTTTTGAAATGCTGGTAGCCAAATTAGCTATTACAGTAGGATCGAAATTCGTCTGGGCGCCGATGATCGACCTTTTCAGCTTTTCGGCTGTTCCATTTTGCTTTACTTTGCTGTGGAACTTTATAACAATTAAGGCCCAATGATTCTCTATTGGAATCTAATTCAGATAACATGGTGGCCACCAGATAACTGCCACATTTTTTCCTGCAATTCCATCTGGCGCGGAGGGACCGGCATGGACAGCCGCGTTATCGTGTGTGAAAATCAAGGATAGAGGGGATCCTTGTTGAAAAAATGGTAAGACTCGCTTCGAAAGAACTTCACGATACCCTGTGGAATCTTTGTGAACGGAAACAAAAGCGAGCTCTAGCTACTCAGTCGTTCAAAGGTGCCTCAAACCATAAGGGATTCACCGCCGAAATTACGTTACATTGAAACCATCTGCGATTTTCACGCGATCATCCTGTACCCTCTTTTTCTGCCATATCCACCTAGAATAAACTTTTCCACGTCGATCTCAGACCACCTGTAGAACGAAACAAGGAGGTAGAGTCCAAGATCGCGAAGGGTCTTAACAGCCACACCATCGCTCATTAAGTTGAGCCCTTTTCCACGGAGAAATGGAGACTTGCGATCTTGTAGCGCTCAAATAATCTTGGAACGCTCTTCATCAATCCGTTGAAGATGTTATTGCTCTGCTGGCTTACTCACCACACGGTGGTTTTGCTCACGGAAGGCCGCATTTCAGTACGGACTTTGTTCGGACTCCTTGTATAATTCGAGAGAAGACACCCAATTCCTCCTAAATTTTGAAGGAAACGCAGTCTTTATTTACCTAAGCGACTCTTCTCTCCGCACTGACCAGGATTTTGCACATAGTCGCTTATGCAGTATGAGCCGGCCGACAGGAAATTCTGCTCCTCAGCTATCCCACTTCAGTAAGTGCTCTAGCTTGAGCTTGTTACTGGGAAGAGAGGCGAATAACACGAGGTATGGTAAACTCGATGTCGACTGAGCCCACATATTTCCCCGCTTCCCTGATTCCCTTCACGGATCGTGAGAAATGGAAACTTTTTATGAGTGGCCCGATATTCATGAAACGGTGAAAATTCGTTCTAAAAAAGTTAATTGGGTTACTTGAGGGGGGAATTTGTCAGAAAAACACTATGAAGGTTTTCCGTGATGAGGAATCTAACGGTGATAGCAGCATTTCCAAAAAATGCACAGCAACTTTGGGGTAGCAAAAATTTAGGGTGGACCTATAATTATGAAACGCAGTGTATAATACTGTGGTAGCCTTTCGAGCAGTCTCCTCGCTGTGAACTCCAAAGGAGAGGTGTGATGAGGAAGCCCAAATCTCTCTGTTGCTCCACTTTGTTGATAGGAACGTATTCTATGGTGTAAGTAAATTGATCGTTGCTTCCCAGAAAGATGTAGAACACTGGTTTTCTCTCTTGATAGTGGTAGACCCCACTTCTTAGACCAGCTGTTAACAGTGTCAACGAACTTTTGAAGGAGCAAGCAGTCCTCCAACGAGCGCACAGGACAATATAAGTTTACGACATCGGCAAATGCTGTGCATAGAGCACCACATTTGGTGATGAGACGAGGTAACTCAAACGCAAAAATGTTAAAGAGGAGAGGGGAAAGGACGCCACCCTGAGGAACCCCGCTGGGCACCTTTCGTGGACAAGAAACAGGTATCATTGACTCGAACTACGAACTGACGGTCGGTTAAAAAGGCACGGATCCAAGAAATAATCCGGAAATGAACTCCAATCAGGGAGGGCTTGGTGATCAGCTTCTCGTGATCGACCCGGTCGAATGCTTTAGAAAAATCAAGGTATACGACATCAACACTAACTCCTTCATCTTCATCCAGTCGTTAAGCGGTTGCAGTAGTGTGGTAGTAGTGGACTTCCCTTTCTGAAACTCGTGCTGAAACGGTGAAATTATGGTGTGTTCCCCTAATATGCGCTTCAATTTTTTCCTTCAAAATATTTTCAAACGCACGAGCAAAGATTGATGTGATGCTGATGGGACGATAATTATCAGTACAATCATAGGGCGCTTTTTTGGTATAGGAGTTACATATACTCGATATCGGTGAGTTGGGGTGGGCGTGTCACCGGAAGTGACGTGCACTTGATAGAAGTGCGTGGATAAGCTGTTGCCAGCATGCTTTGCTGATATCCAGCGATGTATGTTGGAAGCAGCTTATCCACATACTTCTATCAAGTGCACGTCACTTCCGGTGACACACCCACCCCAACTTTCGGATATCGACTGTAGGCCATTTTCCATCCTAATGGAACTTCTGCTCTCATGAAACTAAGATTAAAAATATATTGAAGAGGACCAACGATGACATGAGCAACGTTCTTAAGGACACTTCATCAGGAGTTAAGGAACAGGACGAAGGCCAGCGCAGCAGAATAGAAAGCAGATCATCAGCATGAACCCATTCGGAAACGTTCATAACAGGAATCATATCTAGCCCGGAAAGATCAGTTGAATCTTCTGCAAACTGAACAAATGCCTTTTCAAAAATGCAGGCAAGAATTTCCGCTTTGTCCTTATCATTAGAGAGTGCCATGCCACCACAACCTCTCAGCAGCCTTAGGCTTGCTATCAAGCCTTGAACTGACAAGTTTATAAAACGCGTTTTTATCATTGGACATGACTTTTTTCTCAACTGAGCTGTTGTATTTGTACAGCTTACGCTCGAATACGGCATTCAATCTGTGAAAGGTTGTCCAGTGCTCTGGAGTGGCATTTCAGGGTAATATCTACCCAAGCCTGCATCCTCTTATGATAAAGACGTCTAAGATATGACGGCAAATGGGACCGAGATAAGGGAACATGGATAGTAGGCAAAAATGATATGCAGTGATGTAATATCGCTATGAAAATCTCATACATCTCATTGATTGACTGAGAGGCCAAAAGAACGGGAACAGTCGATGCCAGCAAGGTGTGTTCTGATCGCGTTGTAATTTGCATCTTTGAAGCTTCTCTTTTTTATAAGTGGCTTACTGGCAGCAAAAAGGTTTAAGTCAAAAACGACACTGCTGTGGTCACTAGTGCCCAAAGGGGGCGCGACAGACAAACCGTGAATCAAGCCGTCAGTGTTGGTCAACACCAAGTCGAGAATATTACCTCCTAATGTGGGCACTTTGACATGTTGCGCAAGAAGGTGCGTTCCACAGAGGTCCGTAAACGATTTGGAAGTGGCGGAGCAACTGGTGCTACCAGAAGGAGTTGACCAATCAATATCAGATAAATTGAAGTATCCCGTTATTATGCAGTGATGGTGAGAGGAGATGAGATCACTGATCGCATGAAATAATATATTTGTAGCCGCGGCAGTGGCGGAGGGAGCCCTGTATACGACTAGAAGGCGCACAAAAACGCTATCCACATTATGATATCTACACATAGAATTTCATATCCTTCAGGACAACATTCACGCAAAACTGTGACAGTAGAAAGGGTTTTCTTGTCCAAAACTGCGACACCTATACCTTTTTTCGAAATGTGGTCGGACCTGATCAAGTCGTACTGTGGCCAACGGCTACCAAAAGAAGACGACCATTGAGCGCCCGCGCTAAGCCAAGTTGCAGATAGAGCGATTAAGTCAAAGCCAAATTGCTCAATATGATAGAGGAGCGCACGTCCATTTTTGTGAATAGATCGAATATTGGAAGACAAACACAGCAAACGGCGCACGTGGTTCCGAGGCATTTACAAGTTTGACGGACAGGCTTGGTTTGAAACAGGAGCAGTAGTGTGAACACTGACATCGGAAACATTAATAAGTTCAGGAGAGCTTCGATTACGAATAAAATTACCTTGAGTTTGAATTGATTTCAACGAAGAAGTGTTACGCCGTGCAAGCCGCTCAGTAACTCGATTCCTCTCTTCCCTTGTGAGTGAGGGCCTTATAAAAATTTTAGGGATCGAGAAGTACTTTAGACGAGGTGCACGGCGCAAGCAGCACGGAGCATTCGATTCCAAGCTAATCAAAAATGCTTTTCGAAACATTAATGTCACTGACCAAGCGCTCACTGGGCAATTGAGCAGAGCTTTCAGGCAATCCGATGAGAACAATAGAGCGTTTGCGTTCAACTTCTTCAGAAGACATAGATAAAACATTTGAAGCGTTAGCGGAAGGCTCAGAGGGTTCCTGAGAGGAAGAAGAGCTAGATATAGCAGTGCCATTAATAGCAGCTTTGAGTTCGGCATTCTTGATGACGATACCTCCTCCGCTAGCTCTCTATTGCGGCATAGAACGGAATGGAGAAACTTCCGGTCCTCAAGAAGGATGTCCAATACGGATCGTAGATGCTGCGGCAGAGATTGATCCTCCATAAGAAGAGCAACGTCATGGTCAAATTTGTCCGATGGCATAGGTGGAGAGCGATCAATACATGATCGCTTAGTCTGCCTTTCCCGAATACGCAAGCTGGACAAGGGAGTGTCCATTGGAAAAAAATAGGATTGCCAGTAGAAATACCAAGCAGGAATAAAAAACCTAAAGGTGGTAGAAAAGAATGCAAGGATAGGAAGGATACACCTCTGTATGTGGCAATAAATAGAACAGGACTCGCACCGTGCCACTATGATGCTCAGCTCAGATTGCGGAGAGTTCCGTCTGGATCAGTAAACAGCGAAGTAATTGGGCGAAAGCCGTCACGGAACAGTACAGTATCAGCGAATAGTAAATTGTCGTTGGCCAAGTACGCAATGTACAACAGAAAGAAAAGGGATGAATGGTCGGCAGGTAAGAAATCAATGGAAGAGCGGTCGGTCGATACGAATGCACAGGCGACAATATGTTGAATGCCGCAAAGGCAGATGTTTTGCATGGCAGTGAACACCTTGCATCTGACTTTCACCCTCATTCATCAATATAGCCAGCAATCTCCTGTAGCTCTGAACATCAAAAAGAAAAAGAAAAAGAAATCCTCACCAAAAGCTTCAGCCAGTACTCTTCTCCTTCGTTATGGCGCTTGTAATGGAGTGACCACTCACTGGAGCATTCACTTCCTAGTTCCTTGCGAAGTTCCTAAAGTGAAATTACTTTGGAATGCGTGACGTGCCCAATCCAAAAACTTTGAATATCTGTATGTACAGTCGATATCCGAAAGTTGGGGTGGGCGTGTCACCGGAAGTGACGTGCACTTGATAGAAGTTGCGTGGATAAGCTGTTGCCAGCATGCTTTGCTGATAGCCAGCGATGTATGTTGGAAGCAGCTTATGCACATACAGGACCGTGCAGTGAAGTATTGGTTCTCATTTTTTTAAAGGTAACTCCCTCAAAACTCAAGCTTTTGTTCGATTTTTTGAAGGTGAGTACATATCACTATATGTGATAAGGGAGCAAATTTTCAGTTGTCTAGGTGCCTCATTAGAAATTTTTAATTTTTTTGGTCCAATACCATATTACTTGTTCGAACTTCAATCTATCTAAATTTCAAAAATAATAACAAAATAATTTGTATAATAACAGAAGGAACAATTACAACATCAGCACTTTGTCGCACAACCGTTTTCATCTATTATACTATGACGACTTGACACGGCGCAGCATGGACCCGGATGTTTCCCTACGTAATCTTCAGTGGAACAAACTTCTTCAGCTCGTTGTGAGCTTTCAAGGCCTTCAACTTGACTCCGAAAATCATCCTACAGATTTTTGCTCTGATTCAAGTATGGGGACTGCGATGGCATGGCAGTGGAGGAACATTGTTGTTGCGGAACCATTTCGAGAGCGGCTTTGATTTTGCGCTTCGGGTCGGAAAATGAAACACTACGGGCGACACTGCGAACATGCGGCCAGATAGCAGTCATCCATATGTTGAGGCGCGTTTTGGAATCCATTTCACCCTCGGTCCGATGAAGGTGATCAACCCCTTGCCACAGAAGCTGCCGTGCAGTATCACCGCATCACCTGCATTCTTCACGTCAGCACATGGAACTTCGGTAATAGTCCGCTTGTTGTGAGAATGAGCCCATTCGAAACGCGTTTCGAAATTCTTGATGGGAATCAGCGGTTTCTTCACTGGGCGACGTCAGAAGAGCCCAGCATCTCTCAGACAACGTCGTTGTCTTGCGGACGGATTTAGACCGTCTGGCGTCGAGAATCCGCGGTGAATGTCGGGTGCAGCGTGATGTGAGCCACTCCTTGCAAGTCGCACAATGATTCTATTGGCGAGAGGAGAGGTCATTTTGCTGCTCCTGGGCACTTTTTGACTTTGGCAGGTTCGATGCTCTTGAATTTCCTCCACTCACATTCTCATTCGTCCACTGGCGCTCCTTGAACTTCGAAAATCTGCTAGGATGTTAAGCCTTCGTAGAAGCTCCGAAAGATGGCGTCACCTGGTCCTGCCACAAGCTAAGAATTCCCGAATGTCTTGGAATGTTCTGAGTACTGTGTAGGCATATGAAACTGACACAAAACAGCAAAAACACACGTGCTCTCAACATGGAAACTCATCGTTTATCACAATGAAATTGGGTGCCCGCGGACAATACTCGAAAATGAAGCTCCATTTCCCCTTGAAAGGAGGCCTGCACCGATACACTGCTATAATATGACTACCTGTGTGTGTCACCTGCTGTCGAAGTTTTACTGCGAAAGCTTGAGTTTTGAGGAATTACGTTTAAAAAAGTGAAAACGAATACTTCACTGCGCGGTACTGTAGTTTCTATCAGGTGCTTGAACTCCCCTTCAAAAAGCGAGAAAGTGTCGGGTGCAGACCAAACACCACAACTGACGACGGCCTCCAAGTAAATCTGGTTAGAAGTTGTTCATAGTGATAGCTGATTTCTGGTAAATGATAGTTGTAATTAGTGACAATCGATACAACTGCAACAGGCTAATCATTTTCATTGGCAGAAAACATTAACATTTTGTGAAGGCCGTCGTCACTTGTGGTGCATGGTCTGCACCCGACACTTTCCCGCTTTTTGAAGGGGAGGGTATGTACTAACGTCGATATCTCGAATTCAGATTGAGAGTGGCTATAGATTTGAGGTGGCTGTTACCGCACTTAATAAAAGACGGATAGATGTTTCAAACATACGCCGTTGGATATCAGCAAAGCATGCTGGATGCAGCTTATCGCCCAACTTCCATCAAGTGCGACGTCTTCCACGTGCCGCCTAATGCTGTATCCTCGGAGTTATACCGGGGCCATACCGGTTCGCATGTGTTCGGGGTGGCGGGTAATCGTGTCACCGGAAGTGACTGTGCACTTGATAGAAATTATGTGGATAAGCTGCTTCCAACATACATCGCTGGCTATCAGCAAAGCATGCTGGCAACAGCTTATCCACGCACTTCTATCAAGTGCACGTCACTTCCGGTGACACACCCACCCCAACTTTCGGATATCGAATGTATGTCTGTCCGTCCGCAAAATTAAGTGAGTGATAAGGAGCTAATGGAATAAACATCTCTAACAGAATCGGGTAGCCTTGCAGGGCATGAATTATCAATATTTGTAGTAGGATAACTGTGATATCACCCCTACGGCTATATAAACACCTCTGAGCATACTTTCGGTAATTCCACATGGTGCTGCAATGGCACCTGGAGGGTAGTGGAGGGAGGAGCCTAGGATGGGGAGGGGCCGCCCTAAAACTCTGTCGTCGCGCAATAGGATGCGTAGTTATCGATAGTTGCGGTATTTCGACCGCGGCCCATCGGCCTTCGTCATGATATGGCAATGCCACTCTACCTGCTATCATAAAGACGGAACGTTAAAGGCAGAGCTAGAGAAAGGAGTCCAACGATGACGGTGGGGGGACTAATTTGGGTTAAACTCAAAACCTGGGGGCCGGTCAGAGCGAGCTTCTGTCAGTGAACCTCACTTTGCTCGTCTATGAAGAACAGGTCCTCAAATTCCGTAGCAGCGAAGTAATCGTGTAACTTTTTGGTTGTGCAGTAGAGCGCCGTGTAATTTCCTGCTCGCATGCCCTCCCTCTTTAGGCGTAAACGCTCGCCTCAGTTTTAGCCTCTGTCTCATACTGCTACCATGCCTCTTTGGGTTCCCGACAGAAGCACACTTATGTATTAATAGCGGGCCTATCCTGATAGTTCTAATTTGCTTTATGTCACATTAATCACAGCAATATTTTGCTGGCTAGATGCGCTATCAGGGTGAGCTCGTATATACGTTCTGTGTTAATAGCCGGCTCGTGAGAAGCGGAAATCAGAGGGTAGAATCAGCACTAATTTTGCATATGGAAATGAAAACAGTTAGGTTCAAACTGGAAGAAATACCCTCTCTCCGTGCTCTTCACTGAGGAAGGGAGGAAAACGCGTTGAATGAGCGATATGTATGAGGCTTGCATCCAGAGTTGGTGCAAACAAACTGGTCGTAAGTGGTGGTCGGGTACGCAAGAAAGGGGGGTCGGCGGTAATGCGAGGCGGAAAGACATAAAACTTTGTTTGACTAATACATATATTTTTGTAAAATGGAGTTTTCCCTGAGCCTTATTTGTTGAACATTTTCTCTTTAGCAAACATTTGTAGTTGTTGAGGTACTCTCTCTTTTCAAGCTTTATTGGTGAGCTTTCGCTGATATAACAGCTTCCTCAGACCTAGAAAAAGTTACAAGCATATCACAATTAAACAGCCTTTACAATACTTATAGCAAATGATAACTAACTGACCAGGCGGCTACTTTCAATTAAAGAATTCTGCAAACAACTACTTGAGACTGCAAAGTTAAGCT